TACAAAATGAGTAAGTCGATCGGTTTACATTCAAATACATTCAAGGTGAAGAAGGGAAAAGAGTGCCGAGCAGGGCCTTCAGCTCCAACCACCGCACCTCGCCCATGATGACCTCGGCCTGCCGGTTCTTCTTGTCCAACTTCAACCGCTCGACCCATTTTGTGTTCGCCGCATACTCGGTCAAACAAACCTTGCTGCCCAACTCGAAGTCATTGGCAAGCTCGGAGGCAATGGCCGATCGGCGTTTCACCAATTCGGCCATTTGACGGTCGAGGTCGGCCAAGGCTTCTTCTTTAGCCTTTAAGGTGTCAATCTTTGGACGGAGAGTATCTTGAACGGCCATGGCAGCCTGCAGGTCTTGTTCGGCCCTTAGAGCGCTATCGAAAATACTGAAAGTTTCTCGAACCCGCTCCAAGGCGGTTGACGCCCGAACGACAGCTTCGCCGCTCAGCTAACCGTCGGCTCCAAGGTCGTTTAGACACGCACCCAGCACATCAAGACCTTTACGCTCAAGGACTTGCGACGCCGAAAGCGACAAGACCTCTTGCAACCGAGTCAGAGCAGTTGAATCAGCAGTGTCAGTTGAGGCGGCCGAATGACCAAACCCTCCGGTGGTGCTGGACAAAAGAGCTTTGAATTCGACCTCCCACGAAGCCTGCACACACAAATCAGGTTAAGCTCAAAAGAGGTCATGAAAAAAATAGCAAGAAGGTTTCGTTTCTTTTAACCTGCCGAGAGGAGACCTCGGCCATGTCTTCAGGATCGTTGCTCGAACCTAAAGAACTCAATGGCCGAGCCCAGTGTCTTAGATTGCTCCTCAGTTCACGCGGCCGATGGAGGTTATCTACGTTTGATGGCCACTGAGGCGGCCATGAAATATAGATAACACCCTTCGACGCATAGAAGTTTAGATGAAAAGAGTACGCAGGCACCTGACAGTGTTTTTCTGGTTTAGAGTTTTATGGCAGGAAAATAATCAAGGAAAAGCGATAGAAGGCACTTACGAAGGCCGAAGTAACTTCCTGCGGATGAATGTTGAGGTCCTGGTCTTGAGGATGAATGGGCGTTTCCGCCGTTGCCTCTGGTTCCTCGGCCGGTCGTTTGCCACGGTCGGTTGTGGAAGGGCCGACTGGGACAGCCGCTTCGGACGCAGGATGGACATCTTGGTCCTGTGGAGGACCGGGCGTTTCGGTCGCCGCTACTGGTTCCTCGGTCGGTCGTTTGCCACGGTCGGCCGTGGAAGGGCCGACTGAAACAGCCACCTCAAACCCAAGAAGAAGTTGACGGCGGGGATGAGGGCGACTCGCCACTGGAACTTCGTCGCTCCCCTCGCTCTCTTCCAGAACGAAGATCGAAGGTTTTGGATGTGCGGGAGAAGTCTTCTCGGTCGCAGGGACTGCCTTTTCTAAGACAGGCGTAGCCTCGACTGATGGAGCTACAACTGGTGCACCGACCTCAGAAACAGGACGTGCTTGGACTGTTTTTGCAGTCGGAGTTGGCTGTTTCTTGACCAAGGCTTGGCTGACGGTGAGAGAAGGGGAAACACTGGGAGTCGTCGCCCCCGTAGTTTGACTGGAGATGACGTGGATCTCCCGTGCTCCTTTCTTTGCCAGCTTTTTGACCCGCTTGGCAGGCCGAGGGGGTTTGATGGTCGGCTCGGCCTCTTGACGAGTCCGTTTGCTCGGCAAGACAGGCACAGCAGTTTTAGCCCTCTTCAAGGCGACCGATTTTTTCTCAGCCGCAGCTGCAGCGACCACTTCCACATTTTTCAAGGACCGGCTACCTGGGGAAGCAAAAGCAAGTCAGCAAAGCAGATCAGTAGTTTAAAATTGAAAGAAAAAGGTAGAAATAAACCATTACCTTGGGTTTGGAGGGCAGAAGCTTTCTTAGGTCGACCACCGAAGAGTTTGGCGAGAACGGTTTCGACCGGAACACCAAAGAACTGTTGGGTATATTCTTCCCACCAAGCACCGAAGGTATCGGTGCAAAGAGTTTCTGGAGTGGCCGGTCGAAAGCGGAATTTCTGGCACCGCTCTTGGAACTCCCTTTTTACGTCACTACATTCCTTCTCGGAAGAACCAGTTTCGCGTCCACGGCTTAGGACGGACCGAGAGGAGAGATGGGGGACCGGGCAACCTTGGAGGTAGCCAAGCTGCCGAGCGAGGAAGTTGGGATGATACACTTCCCAACTCACTCGGCGGCCCTCACAGCCGAGAGGAAGGTCGCGGGCAAGCACGAAGGACCCCTAGGATTGACGAAGGTTGGCCTCTTCGTCCGCGCCCCATGCTGATGTAGGAAGTCTGATCGACGAAGGGTATTCTCGACGACGACAGATCAAGAATTCGTCATCAGAAAGGTCATCGAGAGCGAAAAAGTATCTGAACACTTCTTCAGCTTGGTGGGGGGGATTGGCCGAAGAGCCAGTTGGGGGCCGATCACTTCTTTGGGCGAGAAATCGGCCATCGTTGGCCGAAGAGGGGCAAAATTGACCTGCAGCCAGAGTTAGAAGACCAGAGGGGCCCATTCTGCTGCGGATCGACCTTGTTTAGAATGACTTCGGCCAAGCAGCGTAGGAGATGTGCGAGAATGGCCGGGCTGAGTGCCAAAGTGTGACCGCTAGCTAAAGCTTCAGCCACTGCATATTCTCGACTAGACACTTATTAGATTTGGTACAACAAATAAATTTGTTGTACCAATAGAAGAGGAAAGCCTCGTGCTCCCCTTCTCGCAAAGCCTCATCTCCTCGGCCGGCAAAATGGAGATAGAGGGTGTTGTAGTTGAAGAAGTTTTTGTGAAGCTTGTGGACCTCTTCCTTCGAGGGTGTTTGGCCATCACCGCTCAGCGTCTCAAGGGCCCGCTTGTCGAAGAGCACCTTCAAATTGAGGTTCGACGGGTACCCAGGAAGGGCAGCGTCGACTGGGATTCCAGTTGGGGAAGTCCCCAAGATGGCAGTGAGGTCGAGGATGGTGGGGCCAATGGGGCCGAGAGGGAGAACCATGGTGTTAGTAGCCGAACACCAAAAACATGAGGCCATCAGGAGGAGCTCCTTGTCCAGGATGATATCCATGGACGAGAGGCGAATGGCATCATAAATGCCTAGGGCTTTCCATTGCTTGCCGAAAAGCCTTTCCATTCGTACAACCCAGGCTGCCCAGGCTGCCCAGGCTGTAGTGGTTGAGGGCCAGGAACCCTGAGGCCTCGCCACCTCCCACTTCGACCATTCAAATCCTTGCATCAAAGATGACAGGCAGTGCTTCTGGAGGAGCCCGGTGATGGTTGGTGGCACCGCCGCCTTAAAAAGAGGACCCAAGATTTGGTGAGAGGTGCTCATGTCACTCTCAAATCGGATGGTCTTGATTGAACTCCGATCGATGATTTTCTGGCATTGGTCACACTCCTTAGAAAGCTTGGAGATAAAGGAAGCCATAGTGAATGGTTTGAAGGGATGACAAGAAAAGAATATTCTGGGTTTAAAGATTGAGAAACGAAGACTTGGAAAAAGAACTGCGCTGGAGAACAAGGGCAAGAAATTTCAGAGAGATTTTGAAAGCGTAAAGTATGAATGAGGGATTTCAGTATTTATAGGATTTTGGAAGGAAGGGCAATCGTTCAAAATTCAAAACAAAGGGTAAAATCGATCAAAGGAATCGCTGATCATGATGAACATTCAGGAAATGCAGTTGAGAAGACCGAGAGTCTCAGGTTTTTGGGGTGCACGATTGCGTGTGATGGCGAGATTAATGGCGGAAGACGTTTCAACGTCTGCACAATGACAAACGGCTCGCGGATTGAGGTAGAGTGGCTATGTTCAGCCATAAGGTCATGATGGCATGACGATTCAGGTAGCCGCACGCCTTAGACGTCATTATTAGGGATTGGCCGTGTTAGAAGACGCCACGTGGCGAGTTGGTTAGCAGGATCAAGATCGTGCAATCGTGCTCAATAAATGCGCCTTGGAAATAGAGCACTGGGGTTCTGAGGATTACATTCGCTTCTTCAAGGCCGAAACTCGGCCAACGAATTCAGGCCGAGGACCTCAGAAGCGAGGGGGCAATGTTTGGGCCCAAAATAATAGTTTGGGCCGAGTATAGAATCATTCTCGGCCCGGAAGGCCTTGCGACAAAAATGCCATGGATCGTTCAGTACGTGGGCCTCCAAACCTAGGTCGGCTAGGTCATAACGCAAGAAGTCGAGTCCTAGTGCAATGAGGAGTCTCGACAGGACTAATAACCTGGAAGCGAATTCGGCTCGGTTAAGGACTAGGTTCACAATCCTAGTGAAAATAGGACTGGTCGAGTTGGTGTTGATCTGGAGGAGAAGACCTAGTCCGAGTAGGGTTTTAACTCGGATTCAAAGAGATCCAGTGCTATAAATAGGGGAGGCTGTGCATCATTCAAGCCCCCTACAATTCAACACAAAACTGCCCTGCGCAAACTCTCAACAACTTGAGATTTTTTTCCTTCTTTTTCGTTGACACATCTTCCGTTGGCATCAACAGCATTGTGGAAGCAACCGATGATATCTTAAGTCGGCATAGATAGCTCTGTCACCGTAGAATCAGTCGATCTCGCAGTATCTTCTGTTGGCATCAACAGCACTGCGGTGAGGACGGTTGATTACCTATCCAAGTCTCGGTCGAGAAGGATTTCTGAATCCTTATTGGTCGAGGTCATCTCATCAGCCTTCTCAGCGAAGTGAGGTGTTACAATTATTACATTCGGCACATTGAAAGCCGAATTTGATATTGAACTTCGTAAGAATAGTAATCTTGTCTTCAGGTTCGAGACCCCAAGAGGCCGAGACGTGTTTCTTTCTTGGCCGCAATCGCAAGACGCAGAAGTCAGCCGCGCACCCAATGCAACATCAACAAAATTTACTCCTCGGCCGAGCTCGGCCGACGAGTTGGCACGCCCCGCATTCACCGAAGGACGTAGTTAGCTTATAGATTACTCGGCCTGTGCACCACGTAGGCTTGGTAGTTTTTAGGGTCAACAAGAATCATTGGCCGATCCACAAGAGGGTCCTAATTTGTTTGAGGACTGGCAGGTTTCTCTTGCCCTTGAGTGTAAAGATGCAGAAAATAGGTATCCACCCTTCATTTCACTGTTCAGCATCAGGGCCATGAATAATGTACTTTTTAGCGCTGCAGTAGATATGATCATAATTACTGACTGGAAAGAAATTGTGCTTATTTGTTGGATGATTGTGGATTGCTTTGTTGTCTTTTGCAGGGGCATTCATCCTCCTGTTGACGTAAGAGATGAACGAACATTCATCCACCTGTCAACCAAATAGTCCCAGCTTGCAACTTATGTTGTGAGGTATTATTGTCTGAAAAATTAAGTATGCATGTATATTTTATGTGTGTGCGCGTGCACACCTCCGCATGATGTTAATCTCTGTGTGTCATCTCCGGAAGAGGCTAATTTGGTGGTCGGAAATGTGTTGCCTCTCAGATCGATCCCGGAGGGAACCGTCGTCTATAACGTTGAGCACCATGTTGGGGACCGTGGAACCCTCGCTAGGGCGTCTGGTGATTACGCTGTTGTTATCAGCCACAACCCTGACAACATACCTCCAGGTCTTTATACATCTCTCTCTGTTCACATTATTTCCTTTTCATTCTTGCTAAATTATTGGGTTATATATTTGTGTGCATATATTAGTGTATTAATTGGATTTCAATAATTGGAGTTCAAATATTACATTGTTATAGAGATATCTGATTCAATCACAAAATTTGTATCCCTTTAGCTAATAGCATGTTCATTTGCTGAACTGGGTTGGCTTTAGTATCTTCTGTTTCTTGTGCTGATTCACTTCTTTTTCGCCATTTTTCGCCAAACGCACTCTGTGCTTCCTGTACGATGTGGATTTGAAGAAGATTTGTGAAGTCGCTGTGATTTCATGGTGAGTTGGTTTGAACGGATTAGTTTTTCTGATTAGTGAAAAAACCATGGTTAACATCTCTGTCTTCTCTCTCTAATTAAACTCTTCTCCAAAGCTCTCCTTTTTCGGCTCTCTGATTAATCATTTTTATTGAAACTTTAATTCAACTACATAATATTTCTCTCTGTTCTGGGAGCCTTCATTCTCTCTTTCTCTATATCGATAATCTATCTATCACTTTTCTTTCTGCCAATTTCTCTGCAGAATTTAATCCTCAAATTACGATATGAAATTATAAGAAATGAGTGTTTTTTTCTGTCAGTTAAATTGAAGTTACTTAATTGTTTGGGACTAATGCTTTTTCTTTTGGGATTATCTTCTTCCGGTTGTAGTTGTTTCTGAAGAGAAGAGAAAGCTGCTGGGTTCAGTAAAACGGAACTGACTTTCTTGCCTTTTTAATAATTCTGGGATTTGATTTAGATCTTTCTTATTCCCCCAACTTTTTGTTTTGGGGTTTTGTTACAAATTGCCCATCTGGGGTATTCTGTACATTTCAAAATCTGTGGGAATTTTCCCTTTTTTCTTTTATTTATTTTTATTGATTCCACCCAATTGGATCTGATGTTGCCGAACAAATTGGTGAGTTGAGAAATCTTTAAAGGAAATGCCTCAATCAGACTTTCGATTTTAATATTTATTATTTAGCTGTTGAAAGTTTGCAACTTTTTGTTGAGGTCTCAAAAAAGATAGGACTGTTTCCCTTTGTCATTTTTTGTACGGTGAGAAGTGAGTAATGGGGTTTATTTTGTTTCAGATTAATTTGGTTCATTTGCTGTTAGGACAGTTGCAATTTTAAGTATCTTTTCGATCTCTGCTTCACGATCTTCTTGCCACCTCATCCTGCACCCAATTTCTCTAGCCTTCAAGAGGTAATTAAATCTCACTTCTTTCTCTGATTTGTGCCTTATTCCCACTGTTTTTCTCGAATTGTTTGTTTTTCTTCGATATTGTGGTGTTTCGATCCCAAAATTTTTCATATTTAAAGGGATCTTATTTCTGTTATCTGCTTTGTGGAGGGTTTTTGATCCTTTTAAACGTGTGGGTGTTTTGTCCAGCTTCATAAAACTGGTCTCTATTTCTAGAGTTCTGATCCCTCCCCGGGGGGGGGGGGGGGGGGGGGGGGAAGGAGATTTGGCCCTTTTTGCATTCGAATCCATCTGGGATTGACGAGAGTCAGATTAATTCTTATCAAATTGGTCGCACGGACCATGAGGACGACATCCTCCAAACCCTCTACATAAGCATCGAGGTAAATCCCACTTCTGCTCTGCTTCACAAATTATTTGTTATTTTCCGTAATATATTTGATTTCTATAACTGTAATTTCAGATTGTTGCCCCTTTGATTTTTGTCAGTTTGGACCAAACCCTAACCATTTGGTTTTGTGATCAGTTGCAGTTTTTGTTATCTCGGTTCATAAATCTCGGATTTGGCAGGAATTGGAAGGGCGCTGTTATTTTTTGGGTGTGTTATCTCTGCTTCTGTTTATCCCAATTTTAATATGTATTTGCAATTGTTGGATTAAAAGGGTTTGTGATTTGTGAAAAAAGATGAGTCAAACGACTCCAATTTTTGAAAGTTTTCTGGTTTTGGTTTGTATTGAAAACAGGGAACACTGAGAGGGAGATGATGACATAAAGTATAATGTTTAATTTTGATTTAAATTTTTTTTTATGCTGTGAGTGGATGAATCCATCTGTTGGTTGAAGTGATAGGTATAAAAATGAATATGGCAAGGAGTAAATAGTTGGAGGTTTATGGTATTTTGCAGGTTTTCTGTTGGTTCATGGTTTTGGCAGTTTTGATTTCGTGAGAGGCATAGAGAGTAGACAGACAGGTGGGAAGACAGAGCAAGGGAAGGGGAAAATGAGAGAGACGGGTTGGGGCAATTTTTTTTAAATTGATTTCTGTTTTGTTTGGGTTTGGCATTGTGATGTTTTTATATTTAATTTGGTATTTCATAGTTTAGGTTACGATTGTCATCAGTTTTCTTAGACAGGGAGGTGATGTTCAATTGATGGAATGCTTTTAAAAGATATTGGTTTTAGAAGGTTATTATTATTTATATATAAGTATACTTTATACTTTAATGGAATTTTATATGAATGTTGAAATGTTTAGGATCTTAGATAGGCTGGTGAAGGGCGCATAGAGTGCAGAGGGAGACAAATCGAGGAAAAGAGTTGGGGTGTGGAACAAGTTGGTGATGAAATTCCTGCTGAAACCCAAATTAACATATTTTTTTTCCCTGTTTGACCATGCATTTATGAATGTTGGATTAAAATGTGTTTATTTTTGGGAAGAAATGAGACGGTTGGTTTGGGTTTTAGAAGCCTTTGTTTTTCTGCCTTTTATGGCAATGAAAAAAAGGGGGGGGGGGGGGGGGGGGAACATTGGTCTTAATTGTAATTTCCAATTCTTTAAGCTGTTAGTAGTTAAAATTAGGGGAATGGCTCCAATTTTGTTACTCAATTAATTTAATTTTTGGTGTATTTCAAGCTTCTAATTCATTTCCTGCATCATTGCTTAGTTTTATTCACTGAGATTTGAGTGGTTAATTTTTTGGACCTTATGATCTCATTTGTGATAATCAAGTGCATAATGGTTAATTGTAATTTTCAATTCTTTATGCTGTTAGTGGTTAAAATTACGGGAATGGCTCCATTTTTGTTAGTCAATTAATTTAATTTTTTGTGTATCTGAAGCTCCTAATTGATTTCTTGTATCATTGCTTAGTTTTATTCATTGAGATTTGAGTGGTTAATTTTTTCCTTATGACCTCATTTGTGATTATCAAGTACATAATGGTTAATCGTAATTTTCAATTCTTTACGCTGTTAATGGTTAAAATTAGGGGAATACTTCCAATTTTGGGGGCCAATATTTAACTTTTTGTATATCTCAAGCTTCTAATTGATTTCCTGCATCATTGCTTAGTTTTACTCACTGAGATTTGAGTGGTTAATTTGGATCAAACTGTAATGATTTTCCTTTGTAACAATTGTGGTCCTCTGTTAGGATTTTCCTGGCAAAGAGTATATCTTGCGTTTTGGTTGCTCAATTGCTCAATCACAGATATGCAAATAGCTTTGGTGGTTTATATTTTTTATTAGTTGCAGATAATATATTGCTGTGGAACTTTGAATCTTTGCAGTTGTTTCAGTGGTAGTTCTTGGGTACCTTGACATTTATCCATAAATAAGTTAATGACTTTGGTCATGAAACAATTTTTTGTTTCGGAGAATGGGGTTGGTTCAATGAGATTTGTATTCATGAGTTATAGACCCAGATTTATGAATCTTTCTGTTGTCTTGATATGTATGAGTGTGTGATGGAGATGTAAACAGATAGAATGAATGAGAGGGTTGAAATAGAATCAACCCCGTGGCTGGGGACTGAACGGATGTAAAATGTTGGATCTTGGTATGAATTGGATAGTTGAGCAGCCCAGTGTGGTTCTCTTTGGTTTTTTTTGAGAGAGCATATCTGTTGTGAGTGTGCTATACTGACTGCTTTAATTTTTGATGACCCTTAACGATGGAGATTGAACTACAGTCTTGTGGGGTGAAAGGTTATCTGAAAATAATGGAAAGAAAATTTTCTGCATTGTGATTCTTTAATTGTATGATAATGTTTCCAATGTTTTAGATTACATTGATCTGTATTATTTTAAAGTATATATAAAGATTAGTTTATAGATGTATGCACTTAATATTGGATATATGGTATTTTTCAGGGTATTTGACATACAATTGCATATAATCTCAAGTTTCTCATGCAATTTTTGTCTGATCTTTGGAATCATTGAAAAATTTGTCTAAATAATTAATTGATTGAAATGGCTATTAGTAATGAATGAGATGTTTACTGTGTTTTTGTGTGTACAGAGCCAACGATATGTTGTTAACGAAGGCAAAAACAAGATGCAGTTTGCTGCATATAGAAAACGGAGGTTAGTTTGATTCCAACTACTTTTTTTAGTTTATTTGAATAAAAATTTGGTAAGTTTGAGTCCAATTTGATTATGTCTTGCAGATTCTTTAATCAGTGATATTCTTAACCCTCATTATATGTATGGATCCTTTTTGATAATGAAATAACATAGTTATTTTAGTTATAGTAAGGATTAAAAACTCTCTTTTATCTGTCCAATTTTTTCAAACTTAATAAATTAGGTTAGTTTTTAACACCTTTTTTATACTGATCAATAAAAAATTTGTTAATCATTTTAATACATATAAAATGAAATTTGTTAATCATGTTAATCAGTAATTTGTTGTCAAACTCTAAAATCACTAATTAGGCAATCCTAATGACACACATGAATCCCAGTAAACAAAGAAATCACATGGTTGTCATACTCATAGTAAAAACTAAGAATTCCTTTTTTTATCTCTCCAGTTTTCCAAAGTTAACAAATTAAATTTGTTTTCTATACCTTTTTCATTCAAAAAAATATTTTATTTGCTTTTTGAATCCATTTCTAATCTTTATAAATTACTTGATTTAGTATTGTTATATAGTATATAAATTGGCATGTTAAGTGTATCACAGTATCAGTTTGTTGTTTTGACAGTTTGATTTTGAATAACACACTTTCCTTTATGTTATATCTTTGCATTTTAAATTGAAGTTGCTTACTAGAGTAATTATGTTTGTTTGATTGTAGGGATCTTATTGAAGCAAGGAACAAGAATTGAATTATTTTATTGCAGAGCTCAGGATAAACTTTGCTTCTTTACAACAGAAAAATATACGAAATAAGAGTTGGATAAGATGGTAAGTAGGTGGCTTTGATATTCAATGTGGCTGAGTTAAGTTAATTTCTGTGGATTATTAAATGTTTGAATACGTCTATCAGGCTGCAGTAGAATCTCTCATTAGGAAAGAGAGGCTAGACTTGAAATTGAGCGATCATGAAATTCCCTCTTGGATGTGCACATGACAAGACTAGGTACTTAATTTTCTATAATGAAATTCCTCTATATTCTTACTTTCAATATTCAAAGATGCAGTCAACCCTTAAATACATTTTTACCCTATTCTTTTTTGGTTTATATGTTCCTCTGGGTTTATTTAGAGTCATGAAACTTGATTGCAGCAAGAAGCATAATAGTAATGGTTGGTTTGTGTTAGAGTTAGAATATCCTGTGAGATGACCAATTTGAGAACCCATTTTTAAATAAAACGTATCATAAGTGTTGAACAGAGAGCGAAGAGATTCTTTGCATGGAAAGCAGATTTCACTTTGTTTTCTTTACTCAAAGTGCTCTTATTTAATCTGGTTTTGTTTCGGTTGCGTAGTCAGTGGTTCGCAGCGACTAAGAATCGTTTCCTAAGAAATCTATTGAACTAAGTTCTTTTTGGTAGGAAATTAGGGTTGCTCATGTTAGCAATGGATTGAGCCTTTCTGTTTGGTATGATTATATTTCTGAACAAGCATTAATAAATAGAACGATTTCGATCAATAATTTTATTCGTCAAGATTCAAACTCCCATTGTAGATCAAACTATAACTCAAACTCCCTTTGCAGATCAAACTATAAGTCAAACTCCCATTGCAGAGCAAACTATGAGTCAAACCCCCATTTCAGAATAAGCTGGGAACGAGGAGGCACAATAGGGCATGGCTATTTCCGGGGCATCGGTCATTTTGAGATTCTGGTAACATGTATACAAGTTAGCTTATTTTTAGACTGACGCAGGAAGACCAAGGGTCTCGAAAAAACGAGGGATAGATAACCTGGGAATCACTCATCCAGGGGCAACGGAGCTCATTCACGTCGCTAATCGTGGATTCGCTCACATGACCAAGCCAAATGCTTGATTTTAAAATGAGAAATCACTCCAATTGCACAAAGCAAAATATATTTTGATTCATTCCAATCTCCATTCTCAAGGGTTTAGTACATATATTTATAAGGAATACAACACCATGAAACTCTAGTCCGAATTGGACTTTTGCTCTACCCTAAAAATACTTAAAATGTTCTTAAATGACTACTTAACTATTTGTGTTGCTCTAAAACTCAATTAAATATATTTGATGGTTCCAATATGCATGAGACTCTTGGTAGATTCCAATACATGCATGAGAGCCTTGGTTACTGCATCATTGACCATTGTTTAGGTGTACATAATTGTTTAATGGGGTAAATCGTCAAAATGGTCTTTGAGATTTGCATAACTCATTATTTTAAGTTTTCACTCGGATCAGTCAACTTAACGGAGTTTTTAACGAAAGGACCAAAATGATGGATAGTGGACAATCTTAGGAACCACTTTTATCGATTTGGAATCTTAGGGACCAAAGTGATGAGTTATGCAAATCTCAAGAACCATTTTGGTGATTTACCCTTGTTTAATGGCTTTGTACCTTTCCATTTTGTCAACTATAGATGTTTTAAAAGATACACATACCCTTCCACGGAGAATCAAGTTCATTAGTTTACATCATATATCATTTTTGTGATGTAAGAAACCACAACCATCTAAAAGTTTAAAGTGAAGTTGTGTTTTAAAGTTTTAAAGTCGGGTTGGTAGGACAAGTTGCTATATATATTTTTAAAAGATACACATACCCCTCAAAATTCAGTTTCCAAATTCTTGAAGATCCAGAATCATAATTGCTATGTTTGAAAGATAAAATGATATTCTGTCAAGTGCCACCACTTTAGCAAAAGTTGTCGCTCAAGAAATTTCTGAAATCTTGATGAAAGTAAACTGTGGGAATTCTGATAGGTGATATTTTAACGAGTACTGCCACGGAATCAAAATTATATATGATTTCCTAACTCAAAAAGGTTGGTAATGATGATTGGATAGTCGTATTGGGATAGGTTGATAGATCTGCGGTGGTATAAAATTACAGACACACTAGCCCAGCTTTAGGGCCAACAAAACTTCTTCATTTCAGGTGTTTTCCTTGGCAATGAGGTTCTTTGTTTAAGTCTAGAGGTGGTTGCCAAAGCGTTCTTCTGGGAGGTTGGTAAGATGTAGAAAAGTGTCAACAATAGTTGTTCCAAGTTGAACAAAACTCATAAAAAGTTGGCATATTTCGTATTTGACGAGGTGGCATAAATATAACGTAAGAATTTTAGAATTGAGATTGCTTACACAACATGTGTGATGATTGCAATATTGCTTAACCTATGCTTTGATACCAAATTGTCACACCGACCTGGAATGTTCACCTGGACACTCGAATCGAGATGTGATGGCCGACACCTGGAGGGTGATAAAGCCAAAAGTGTAGTGATGTGGAGAATGTGAATAAATTAAAACCTAAAAGTGACTAGTTTAGAGTGCTCATGTGAGTAGGATTGAACCCATATCACACAAGTGATGTTAGAGCATAGATAAATTGCAGTAAAACAAGGGTAATCAAATTTATACCAAAAGGAGAAGTCTCCTATTGTCAACCATCCTCGTCGTTACAAAACTTATGCCACTAAATTCCTGAAGGAGAGAAAAATAAGGGTGAGTGGGCCTGAAAATAAAGTCTTGTAAAACATTTTCGAAAAATATATCCACTTGCTATAAAAAAAAGTATATAGTTTTCCCAACAATATTAAAACAATAGTAAGTAATAGATATCATGCACCACAAGTAAGCTATTGCATGTGGGCACAATAAACAGGTATCTTAACATCAAACTCAATTCATCATTATAAGAAGTCACTGCTCATTAGTTCATGTATGCACAACAAGTCATACAGGGATCAACTGCATAAACAGGTTAGGTGTAGGTTTTACATTCTAGTACTACATCGTTGCATCACATTCAAATCCGACACAACATAAACAACATACAAAAGGACAGGCTAGCACCTAACTTTGGATCCAAAGCGAATGTAAATGGTGCATGTGAACTACACATGAAGCTCTTCCTTGGCCCAGGACAGTACAAGCATCTAAGAGCCACCGTGCAACATGTAATAATGAGCAGGTAGAATACAATAATGTCATGTCATAAGTTTATGCTCACAATTATTATTTAAAACATAAAGTGTGCGGAAATGTCTATTTGTAAAGCTAAACATGGCATGTCATATTGTAATACACAGATATATATATATATATAAGTAGTTGTCAGGAATAATCACACACACACATATATATATGAACAAAAAGACTCACTCACAGTTGCCTGCGGTGCTACATCCCTTTGGGCTAAGAAGGTTGGAGTCTTTGATGGTAATTGCACCTAAGCGTAATATTGTGTCCCATCAATGAAACTCAACTAAAACAATTAAATTTGGAAATATGGATGGCGGATTCGGAATCAGTGCGTCGAAATACGCTAAGGAGGGTTTCCGAGAAAATTTCGAAAAAGTCAACAAAAGTTAACAATTAATGTTAACGGAATATTCCCTCATCAGAAGGAATATTCTGTTAAAGTTAACTAATAGCAATATCTCATTTGTTTCACAACCAAAATTGTCCCATAATATACCAAAATGAAGCTTGGAAAGTGTACAACAAGATTATATCTATTTGGAAGCCCAAAGGTTACCGGAGATAGCCGGAAAGTGGCCGGAAACTGGGTAATTCGCCAGAAAACTGGACAAACTTTAAACGTCTATAACTTTGTCAATACTTAACAAAATTGAGTGATTCAAAAACAAAAATTGTACATCTTGAAGAGACGAAGAGATTGGTACCCTCTTCCATGGTTAACTCATCGTGTTGGATCAAAAAATGGCTCGAAAGCCACTGAGGTCGCCGGATTCTGGAAATTTTGGCCTCATTTTGTCAAAACTTTAAAATTTCATATCTTGCTTATTACTCAACCATTTTTAACGTATTTGTTTATGGAAATGAAGCTTAAGAAGAGAAGAACAAGTTTGTAACTTTTAAAAGTCCAAAAATTGGATGAAAATTGATTGAAATGGCTTGGAAGGCACAACATAAACTTTGCATTTTCGAACTCGAGCTTTTTCACGTTAGCGTACTTGAATGAAAAGTCGTTGGTAAAATTCTCACCCAAGTCGGAGTTTCTGAGTTTGATGTCAGAAACTCAGTTGTTCATGATTCTATTTATATGGTTGGGTTGGTGAGGATGAGAGGAATACTATGATGGTGATTTGAAGTCCGTTCTACGATGTTTGATAAATTTCCATGAGTTGCAGAGAGGGAGAGGAGAGCACAGGTTTCAGAGAGAGTGAAGATGAGGGAGAAGGTTAGATAGAGAATGAAAGTGTCTGGATGGTGAAGAAGTGTCTGATTGGTTAAAAAAATAAAAAATAAAGGAATGATTGATGATAAAAATGATGAGAATAATTGCTCATGAGGATGGAAGCCTAGTTGCGGTGGCACTTGAGCCAAAGAAAGAAAGGGTTAGAGAAGATGTTTGTACCATACTTGACCAATCCTGAAACTACTGAGCACCGGTCAACGTTATACCGTCAAGGACCTAGAAGAGTTTCCCTCCAACCAGGAGGCCAATCACAGCGCGACACGTGTCAACATCAGAAGCCAATCACAACACGACACATGTCAATGTCGGAATGAAACTAGAAGCTCTCTTTTATAAATAGAGATCATTCTCTCACAATATTTCCTAATGTCATTTGTACTAAATCATTCACTTGTACTCACTAAAGGAAAGCTTGAACTTATGTACTTATGTAAACCCTTCACAATTAATGAGAACTCCTCTACTCCGTGGACGTAGCCAATTTGGGTGAACCACGTACAAGATTGTGTTTGCTTCCCTGTCTCTATCCATTTACATACTTATCCACACTAATGACCAGAGCAATCTAGCGAAGGTCACAAACTTAAAACTTTCTGTTGTACCAAAGTTCTCACTGATTTTGTGCATCAACAGAAGAAAACCCAGAAAATGTGAGAGAGGGCGTAAAAACCAAGGTAGACATTAATGCCTTGTCAACTATGATAAGGTTAAAATAGGAAAACACAAATATTTCTAATGTTATGTTTTTTCTGGTCTTCTCTAGCCACGTGGATATCTCCAATGACGGTTACTAGGGGTGGAAAAAAAAAATACCGAAAATCCCAAACCAAACTGAAAAATTCCCGAAACCAAGCCGAAAAAATACCAAACCGAAAATCCCGAAACTTTCGGTACTCAATATCGAACCAAACCGAAATTTTCGATACGGGAATCGGTTTCAAGTTTTTGGTTTTTCGGTATTCCTAAATCGAACCGAAATAAAAAATATATATTATTTAATTTTTAAATATATATTTGAAATTATAACAACCGTCATATTTGGTGGAGATTTAATTTCAACCGTTCAATAAAAATCAAACCCTACACTTACACTCTGTCTTTCCCATCTCTCTCGACACTCAGTTCTCACTCACTCTTTCTCGTGGCTCGCCTCGTACTTAAACCCTCATCTCACCACCCTCGTCGCCGATTTGTCTCGCCGTTTTCGAATCCGGCCACACAAGTGACTCACCTGAGTCACATCTCTCTCGACTATCACCTCTCTGATTTCTCTCTCAATCTCTCTCGACTTCTCATCCCTCACAGAGTCACAGTGGATGAGCCTTCCTTCACGAATCACAGCCATCGGCGCCGCTCTCATTCTCAGTCTCTCAATCTCTCTAGATTCCAGTCATCTAGTGCACTGTGCGATTCTCCCCCAAATCAGGTAAAGTTCACAAGCTAATTTAGGGTTTGAATTTTAATTTAGGGTTGGAATTCGAGATTAGGGTTTGTGAAACTTAGCACTTGGAAGATAGAGTATACTGCATACTGAGGGTTTAGGGGTTGAATGGGTGGTTGGAATTCGAGATTAGGGTTTCTCTTCTGTCACAGACTCACAATTGAAGCATAAATTTGTTACAAGTTAATAGTTGATAGTTGATAGCTGATAGTTCATAGTTGTAGCAATAATTGCAGCTGCTAAAATGAATTTCGAGAGTTGGTGTAAATTGATGAATGGAGTTCATAATTAACCGTGGGATTTTGGGATGTTTGTAATGCAGCACCATAAATGTATTTACAGTTTGTTTAGTTGTTCTTTTATATATGAAGATGTTAAACTGTTGAAGAAGTTGAACTGATGAATGGTCAAATACCCACATAATTGCACATCATTAGGTTAAGGAA